ACATTTATACATCAGAAAGTCAGTAAATTATTTTTCTATAAATTAGTCTCTCAAAGTTCACTTTTTTTTCTTTCTGTTCTGAATGCCAAACTCCTGACTGCTTCTCCACCACAGAGACTTCGTATCTGGATAGCCGACATCTGTAAAAACATTTCTAATGAAAACACTACTAATACAACCCCCTGGAGAAACAAATGAAATGAGATCTAAGTATGCAACCGCCTTTCTACAGTTCTGTCTTGAACAATAGTGGGGCTAGTGCTTCCTATCCAAGACTTGACACAGGTCATGATCATTTAGGCACAGTAGTAGCAAAATAAATAATTGCGTAAATATGTAATAACTGGCATAAATACTTCAGTAGCACTTCGAAGATATGATAAAGGACTTCCATCTTTAGTTGTGCATTAAGGTTTATCTCAGTGGATGGAAGGGAGAAGCATTTAAACTGCAGTGAAGAAGAACTATAGATTGAATACTTGAAAGCTCATTGCCAGACATAACATTGCTTCTTTTCTGCAATAGCAGTTTTGAAAGTGTATTAATGTTAAAGTGTTGAATAACTGCTAAAATATTATAGAAACAGTGCTTATAGCTTCACCCCCAAAAACAATATACTGGAAAGATCAATAATGTAACTATGTATTTAAATAATCCCAATACAAAGCCAAACAGTACTGTGTTATTTTTAAAACAATTTGTCATATTGTTTTCATAATGCATTCCACTGCTTAAATAAATAAGAATTTAGAGAAGATTTTTTTCTGATAAACAGCCTAACAACAGGGGAAAAAAGGTCCATTTCTTTGGAACAGGTATCAAAATCTTAGCTAATGCTCCAATCAAGGTGTATAAACATATTACATCCAGATTTGCTGCCTTACTTTTAAACCTATACTAAATAATTTGAGGCAACTCTTTGGTAGTAAAGATCAGTAATAGCAAGTCCTCACCTGTAAGAATAATTAGCACATACAGAGACAGGAGGGGATCCTCAGGCTGAAGATTATCCCAAAAGAGAACAGTGTTTCTAAATGGCCTCATTTTCAGATAGGCTAATGCTTTTCCTTTAAAAGACTGGATTCAACAAATACAGGATATAATCGAAAGTTTCATTATCCAAAGCCAACTGCAAGTTCTGGGCCTGAATCATAGGGCAGATGAAAGCTGGAATTGATTTGGCCATAGAACAGCCGCCATCACCACTCCCCACCCCCATTTACTAATTTTTATGGGCATTTGGGTTCACAGAAACATATTGGTAAGAGTACTTGTTTTGAAATAACTCCATCAACTTCCCTAGTGAAATCTGCATGCACTAAAAACAATAGCAGGAGTTTGCCAGAATGCCAGGAGGGCCTAGCTTTTGCTCCTTTTTCCACCCCCTTTTCTAAGGCGTATGGAACCAGGACTGAACCTGTAAACATGGGTTTCATTTCCAGCAATCTTTTTATGCTAGGTAAATTAAAGCAAGCTTGTTATCTTATGCATCTGTTTCAAATGACATTTCTTTTGCCATAAGGAAAGATTAAGAAAAAATTTTAAGAGATTTTTGATTAAAAAAATGGTATTCAGTCTTTCCACTGAAGAGCTATAACCTTTAAAACAGTTTTGAGGCAATAAAAAGGCAAATGGAGCCCAACAAAAATATTTTTTTTTAAAAAAAAGAGTAATATTGAGCTCATCTCTGGTATTGATAACTACTACAAATATAGATTTTTTTTTTCTAGAGTACTTCAGACTGAAGCACATAGACAAACTGTGCTGGAAAAAAATGAAATTGAAACATTAAGCTTAAAGTATCATTCATTTTCTCATTCTAATACAATGAGCACAAACGGTAATGACTATATAACAAAAATGCTAAGTAAGTTCTTCAGTAATCACAATATTTGTGCTCCTCACCTAGTAAGTAGTGATCTTCCAAATGACAAAATGGACCCAAATAGCTTAAATTATCAGGCTTATAAATGTTTTTTTTAAAAAAAGTGCTCTACCTTCTATTTTACTCAATACTTTGATTCAGTAGTAAGAAAACTCACCCGATTAGTTTCTTTTTAAACCCCAGAGCAACATGACTGCTGTTTTCTTTACAAGCCATGGAAGAGACTCAATTAGGAATTAAAAAGTGAACTTAACTTTGAAAGTGAACTTAACAATTTTATGGATTCAAGCACTAAAGACTGTCATATTACCAGAAATAGTAAAGAAAAAAATTTTTGTTCAAATACATAGTCGAAAAGGAAACACAAAATCCTTAATACTTACTTAAAATTTGATTTTAATTTAATAAAGTAACACACCTGAAAAATCATAGAATACCAGCTCAAAAAATCACCGGTTATGAAAATTTAGTCAATCTTTGTGATCTTTAAGTCTAAGGCACCCTCCAGCGTTTGAAGAAGAAACTACAGTTCTAGCAAGTGAGCAAGCATTTGAAGAAAAACTGCATGAGCAAGTCTTCATGTCAAGACAGAAGCTCCCTGATTCATTTATAATAATTGCATATGATCACGCATCAGTGATATGACTAAGCCATGATGTAAAGAAAAAATTATAAAATTACTTTTAATGGATTTGTATTGGATTTATGAAGGTTATATTAAGGGATCTCTAAGCACACTAATTTGAAAAATACAGCAGAGTGTGCAAAGTATTACAAAAGCATTTCTTACAAAGTCTGGTATTGACAAGCAATAATTCCTCACACAGTATGATCTCTATGTTTACACAGCTTGTTTAAAACTTTAAGGAGCCTAAACTAATAGTTTATTTAAGAGGAGATAGGCCCATGGTAGGGAAGAGAAAAAACAATGCACGTAGAGGCAAAGCCAGATACAGTATTTAAAAAAAAAAATTAATACCATACAAAACAGAAAGACCACATATATACAGCCATGTCCATGGAAGTTCACTGATTTTATGTAAACGGAAAAAAACCTAATTTTTGCATTGGTATCTTTGTTCATTCTAAGAGTAACAAATTCCAAGACATTTTCAGTACTTGAATGACAAGTAGAGAAACATTCGTGTCTACAGGACAGACAAAAATGCCTATTGAAAGGACAGTGTTGTAAGTTAATTTTATTAGCTAGATACACACAAATTATTTTAAAATTACTGAAAGAGAATGAAGGCTGGAAACCAAACTTTTTCAACTGTGATTATGCAAACTAACATTTCTTGTGAATTTCTCTTCTGGCATTTAACACCTTGAGACTGCACCCCATTCATACTTCCACAATCAAAAAACACCTTAAATACAATTTAAGTGGTAGTTAGATAACATGCTTTGAAATGTATGTTAAGTAACTGCAAAGTGGTTAGTTCTTGATTAAGGAAAACATCTTTACTTAGAAAAGCTCTTGTTTTGTGTATGTGTTCAGAATTTAAAGCATATACATTCACTGAATTAGTGCTTCAAGTATCTTTCCTCATTAGGGATGGATGTAAGAATGCGTGTCTATTTCTGAACTAGGTCTTTACCCTCATGGGTTCACCCTTACAGGCCTATGCACAAAACTGCTAGGGCAACAAAGGGATGTTCATTCTGTACAGTCAGGCTAGTTACTTAATAATTGTTTCAGTTTCATAACATTTGAGAGCTCCCCCCCAAAACCTTGTCTCTCATTTACTACAGAACTGAGTTATTTCAACTACAGTTGGAGAAGCAAAAATTGATTACCTTGTGATTTAGTAAAAAAAAAAAAAGTGACATTTGGTCAGTGATGCACTTCGGTTCAGAATTAAGAGTTCTGCCAGGGAAAACAGCTGATGTCACTTTTCCCTAGTACAGCTGAAGACATCTTTTTAAAAACCAAAAGAAATTATGACAAAATGGACCCAAAATCTTACGATGAATATTAAAAATATTACAAGTAAACCTAGCCAGGGTGATGCAAAAAGAGGTAGAAAACATTTCAGAAGAAAGTACATAATATAAATATATTTACATATATATACACACATGTAAGTATAAAAACATTAAAAACCAGCCATCACCCCTGTAAAACTTACAACTCTGCTTGACATGTTCCAAATATTTACACTGACTTCAAAAAGAGCTAACAATAGGGTGCAAAATTGAGCATGACCTTATGTATTTTGCAGAATAGGTAGTACAGGTTTAGAAAAATCACTCTATTCAAATTTTGGCTCTAACAACTTTTTGTATGCTTTTTTTAGTGATACTCCATTTGCAATAGCTTCTCTGATTTGACAACCAAGTTCACTTACAATATGGTCTTCAGCATGCTTTTATTTACTGATGTTCCTTTTTGCAATAGCTTCTCTGATTTGACGATCAAGTTCACTTACAATATGGTCTTCATGATTATATACTCCTGTTCTCAATAGGGTATCCCTCTCTTCTATGAGACGAGAGAGATAATCATCCATGTTCTCATTTAATTTTCTAGAATGAAGACTATCCACTCTACCAGCAGAATTATCTCTAACATCTTGCAACTGCTTTCTCTCTTCTTCTTGTTGCTTTAGCCTGATGTTGATAGAATGGAAAGAATCAGAGGATGAGCCATATTAAAAACCACTCTGATTGTTTCAATATTCAGTAGATAAATAACTTAAAGACTTTAGTTAGTAAAATAAAGAAATCTATAAGAGGTAACAAATTATCCTCTCTAGGGAAAAATAACCTTAAGTAAAAGAAATGTTAATACTTAAATTCTAACACTACCTTTTCTATATGCATACATAACTATAGTACTTGCTACCAAGGCCCCTATTTTGATAACGCAGACAGCACTCAAATTAAAAGAGTTCAACATTCAGAACTACTGCAGACAGTTTTTGGAGGACAACACTAGATATATTTAAAATTGTAATGTATTCAAAATATGAATAGTACATGCCTCTTTCTTCTCTTAATGCAGCAGTTATCCTTAGAACTGAAGGTTCAAAATAGAAAAAAGCCTGCTGTTGTACAACTATGACCATAACATAAAAAAAACCAGGGTACAGTGGCTTTAAACATAGATTTTCTATACAGCAGTACTGTTGCATTTTATAAATGTGCAATCTTTACCTAAGGGACACTAAGCTGTGTTCTTTCACTGGACTGACAGCCAATTATAAACTTGATTTAACTGAACCTTCTCCTATTTTCAGGCAGACAGCAAGAAAAGGTGGTGGTGGGGAGGAATTATAAATGCTTTCATACCTGTTAAGTTCATTTCTGATGTCCTCCAGCTCTTGTCGGTCTGTTTTCCCCAGCTCTTTTTCTTCTGCTGCCAAATAGCGCAATCTCATGTGCTCTAGCTCTTGTTGCTGCTTTTTAAGGTGAGCCATTGCATTTTCTTGTTCACGCTAATGTGGGAAGGTATGAATACATAACTGTTGACTATGTGACTACATGCAAAAGTGCAATTAAAAAAAATTAAATTATTATTTAAAACATTAATTAAAAAATTAAAATGAGCATGAGCAAAACTTCAGGAATGAAGTCATGACAACTAAGTCTCCAGCAGTATTAGAAATGCAGGAGTTAAACAGAATGTCTTAGCTGTTGATATCTATAATGCCGTAAGACCAGTGACTATCACAATTGCAGTAAACCTGTCCAGGCTGGATCAGCCAAAGCCCAGTCACAAGTATCTTCCCATTAATAAAATAGTAAAAATGTTACAAACCCTTTTACAAACTCTGGCTTAAGCTGGTAAAAAAAAAAAAACAAACCAAAAAAACTTATACTTGTGCAACTGCTCAAGATACTGAGATTTATTCCTTCGCTACATGGTATTCTAACTTTTATTGAAAAATAAAACCCAGAAAAATGCTAAATAGCTGTGGGAAACTTCTCTCATCAGCCCCATAGTGCCTAGTGTCAAAGCTTCAAGAACTACTTTTTGAAATTGCAATTTGTGGTTAAAAAATAAGCCTGGAAAACAAAACTCTGGTGAGGTTTCCTTTTACATTTGTCTAGCTCTATGCGAAACCTTAGATAAGGTATTCTGTGGATTTAATTTAACTAATCTATGCATTCTAAAAGTTTACTTAGTTCTATTTTCTTTTATAGATATACAGACACTACCACTTTGTGACATTTAAGTGTCTTAATGAGAAGTGTGGTCCTTTCTCCACTTGTTTTCCTCCCAGTCATTTTCTATTTGACCTTGTGCACTAACTCAATACAGTCAGTTCTACACTCTGAATTACACAGAAGACCTGAGGTAAAATGGCATTTCTTCCTGTAGTTAAAAAATAAGGCAGGAGGTTACACAAACATCCTGGATCTAGACATATAGTGAAGTGCAAGGTTACCTTTGTAATTTTGACATTGCTTTCATCTGAAATATTTGACTGTTTAATACAATCAGTTTTATATTTATTATAGTGGTAAAAAAAGATAATTGTTTGATGTGTGAGTGTATTCATTATACAGTCAACCTAACAATATTTGGAAGAGTCTAGTCAGGCAGTTTCCTGAATCTCAGTTCCCAGCATCTTAAGCACTCCCTGTTGATGATCAATAAGTGATAAGAAAACCTGAATTTCACAAGGAATTAGTATAAACAAAGACTCAAATTGTTAATGCGAACAGGCAATGCAATAGAGAAGTACTTGACAAGAAATCATAGCATGTATGTAATCCCAAAATACTTTATTTTTATACTAAATCCAACACACCAGCCAGGCAAATTAAATCTTAGAACTGCAGTGAGACAGGCCAAAAAGCCTGAAGAACAACTTGTTGAAGGGATACATACTAATAATAAAACCAGAAGCAGGAATCTTGCCAAAGAGTCTACAGCTGATAGATGACTAAGTATAAAAAAGCACTCAGGGAAGATAAGGCCATAGTCCGTCCTTCCTCAACATGAATTCGTTGCAGAAGAACACTCCCATGTGAGAGGCACCCTTTTTTATGTGGGACAGGTTTGAAGAACAGTCTCAGCCTGAAGTAGAATAGGTTTTAGAATAGGAATCTACAAATACATATAGCAAATATTAATAAGTCACTACAGCCAGCTGATATTTATCCAAAAGTTGTCAAGAGTTCTAGGGAAATTCAAACACAAAGTCTGGAGGTGTAATCTGTCACTAAAATTGGTGTTGATACCACAGGAATAACTATTTCCCCATTTTTTATTTTATTCTTTCTTTAAACAAAGGCCTTAGGAATATCCAGGAATTACCAGCAGGACTTACTTCCACAGTGGTCAAATTTATTGAAACCGTAACAAAACCCAAAAGTAATGGTAGGTATGGGTACACCAGGAAGAATGAATTCAGCTTTGTAGAAAAGTCACACTTCCAACTAGTCTTAAAAAACAAAACCCTAAAAAACAACAAAACACCACACCAAAGAAACCACCTACAACCAAACACAAAACCAGGCTGTCACAGAGAAAGTCCCCTCAGATTACTCATGGTTTAGAAGACCAGAGAAAGGATAGCAATTGATCATTTCCACAATAGCGAGAAAGTAATAGTGGACTCCACAAGAATCTACTCTTTGATTTCCTCATTGATAAATATGTAATTCTGGAATAAATAGTTTGCTGCCAATACAAAATTATTCAGTGGGGAAAAAGTAGATGTGAAAGAGTAAGATATTACGGGGACAAAAATAGGAAGTAGTTTGAAAATGAAACAGATAAATTAAGAATACATTCACTGATGTCTGTTAAACACAACAGCCTGAATGCAACTGCTGGCTCATGATGTACTTAACTAATTGACTGAGGACAGCTGGAGGATCTTCAAAAGATATCCAAGCCAGGTTTCTAGATCTTGTGCATCTACTGCTGGCCTCTATATGGGCTAGATTGATATTTCACATCAGTTGGCCAGTTTGTTTTTTTCCACCCAAAGAAAAGCACTGGCTGAAAGTCAAAACTAGGTAAATTCGAACTAGAGACCTGATTCAAGTTATTAAAACAGTGGAAATTAATCACTTAAGCAATATACCAAACACGTTAGGAGCTTCTTAATCATAGAATGTTTTCAATTAAGATAAACATTTGTATTTTAAAAAATGCTGCAGATGAAGTATTACTGTTGAAGTATTTAACAAAGAAACAACACAGGGTGGCTTTTTTTTCTTTAAATAAAGTCACAGCAAATATCTCAATGGTATATTCTCTGTTTTCCAAATATCTAGATAGGCAACAGCATCCAGACAGTAAAGCCAAATTTCCAGTACACAATGGGCTATGAGGAGGAATGGAATTCTTAACTATTTTGATAGCTGTTGTTTTGCTAAATGCAGGTATTAAGATAAAACGCTGTGCGTGATCTAGTCTCAAATAGGTTGGTATAGAAACAGCACAACTTAAGCTATAGTACAAGTAGATAAATAGACAACAAATCTGATCATCTCAGTTAGCCTGTCTCGTACTTCTAGATTCTGGGTAATATTTACTTCTTTTCAAGACCTTCTCTATTCTTCATGCTCTCATTAGATCTCCTAAGTTAAATCCTTTTCCAAATGAAGCAAATTAAAATATTGCTGTGTTTCAGGAAAAAAAAGTTGACATTAATACCTTAGGGCAAACATGAGACCTAAAATTTAGAGTATGTTAAATCTCCTTTGTGAAGTTCTCTTTAGCTTCAGGAGAGGAGTTGTTGCACTGTACATGTAGAACAAGTCTAGAAATTTCTACTTATCTGTCCCTACAGGTAAAGAATCTAGCAATTCAGTCTGCTGACTAGCTACTTTTCCTGATTAGACAACAAGTCTACAGAAACTTGTTATGCATATCCCTGTAGTAAATACAGCACAGCATACATACCCAAGTTCTGGTTTTGGAATTAATTTGTCTAGTACAACCTGGTTTTCCTATTGACATTATCTAACAGTGGTAAGAGTCTTGGGGGCCACACAATAAATTATATAAGAATTAAGTTTACAAGCAAACTGCCTCATCTTTAGGAACCCCCCGCCCCCTTGTTACTGTAGAGGATGAGACTGACATCTTCCTCTTAGATGATGTCAAAAATCTAAATCTTTTACAGAAGAGAGGACTTTAACTGCCATTATCTCCTTTTCTAGCCTTTCTACTTACGCTGATTTGTAGATATAATTAGCTTCAGTCCAATGCATTGTTGCAGATGGTGAGGAATGGATTAACTTTGGAAAAAAATCTCCTTGCTCTGCAGTTCAGTTTATTCATGTTCTAATTGTCCCATTTTAAACTAGGACTACTGTCATGGAAAACTGGGGTATTAATATTTATCTGTCAAATTTGTGTATCTCAGTAATCCGTGAGATAATTTTTTTTTGAAGGTATGTTGTGCAAACATCACCTGAAAAGTAAATACTGGAAAACTAATGCAAACCAGTGCAAACACTTATTACCAGCACAGCAAGACTTTAACATGCCAGCAGAAAATGACATCCCTGCCTACTAATGAAACAGATTATAATGAGAGACATAATACAAATCAGCAAATAGCTGTGACTACACTGAAGAGAAGTCTTCTAATCCAGTCCTTCAGTTTATAGAGTGTATTACTCGGATCTATAAGGGAAGATTTTGAAAGTATTCTTACAGTTGCAGCTTCAGAGGAAACACGTAACTGTGTGCTGGCCGTAAGAAGCACGTGGGAGTATAAATTTCATGACAAGTTGATATATTACTATTTGAGGCAGGAAAGTTCAATGACCCAGAGGTTTCTGCTGTTCAGCAACATGCTCACAATGGCAAACTGATAGCAAAAAAGGCATTTTAAACAAACTCAAAGAAAAAGCATACATTAGAAGAAGTACATATACTGAAGGTTAATTAGAACAAAGTCCGAAGCTCAATCAGGCCAGGAAGAAGACAGAATATTCCTGGTGTTTTCATATTGATCAGAAGGGATCTCATTTAATACCTTGGTCCTTTATGCCCTCACTAAGCTAGCTAGTTTCAGAACCATAAGTTTTTTGATTAAGAAACATTTTTAGTGATGTCTTATTAAACCAAGAAAAAGACAAAAGACAGAATGATGCAAAAGCCAAGTAAAGATGTAAGAAAAGCAAGGCTTTCCTGAAGAATCCTTTGCTCAGTTCCTGTTCCTTTAATATTTTCCTCTGGGAAATGTCTATGAAAAAAATATTTAAAAAAATCAGCATCACTAGTGAGCATGCTCATTGCTCAGAACAATATCCGAGAGTCCTACATTCTCCTTTTCTCCACAGAAAAAAGTCTTATCAATACATTTTGTCTCCAAGTTAACATTGGGTGCGACTTTCAGGTAAGTGTGATTATAAATTTAATCTGATTACTAATACAACTGTGACATAAACACAACAAATATTTGGCATTTCTTTGTTTAGGAGGGATGAGGGAAAAGAGATTAATTTTAGTCCTGTAACAGTG